AAGAGTGGTATCAAGAGTACATAATATTAAGGAGAGTGTCCTATGCACCTATAGTAGCCTGCTACTCTTGGTGGTATGCAATTTTATTAATTTAATTTTCTAAAGCCGACCATAATTATACTTGACAATGCATTATGAAAAAGTATTTTATTAATTGAAAATGCAGCTAATTCACATTAACTTATTGTGCATCTAAAATTGTGAACACTAAAATAATGGAATACCTTGCTTCCTCTGCCTCTTGTATTTCTGATCTCTCTTTGTCAGTTAGTTCTTTCATTTTCTCTCTACTGTCTCTAAATAACAGGTGTATGTACATTGTATATGCACAGTATATGTTCACTAGTACTTGTAATACATGACATATCCATCATATCCATGATATAATCGTAACGGTGGTTGCGTGGTTGATTTGACAGAATACCAAGATGCCTTGCTCTCAATATCAAGATATGACATGTCAAAGAAAAATGGTAATGGAGCCTAAAGTTACAAGGTGAGATTAATATATTATATTAACCAAAGGCTAACTGAATGAGAGATATACTTCTTAGAAATTCCACTTAATTCTGACAGCTGAAAAAACAAGAAAAACAGCAACAGATAAAAATAAAAAATTAAAATAATAATAATTTATTAGGCAATTTGAAAAAACTGCATAATTTTAATAATTATAAAATAAGCCATGGGCATGGTCAACAACTAGTTAATTATAGTGGTGGGCGATACTGTATTTTTTTGATTCAGTACAATACTGAGTATTTCCATTCTGTTATTGATACTATTTGATACGACATAACCACACTCAACCATACCCTTTATTAATTAATTTTGGTTAATTAATCACAATTATACGTACACACATATGCTTAATTAAGGTGCAGTTAGGGATATGGCCTCAGTATCAATACTGCTGCTTTTAAAATTTTGATACTAATATATACTACTTGATACCAGTCCAGTATCAGTTTTATCAATATTTTGATATAGTACTGCCCACCACTAGCTAATATTCATGGCACATGGCTAGGAGAGAAAGAGGAAAAGCTGAAATTTATTTTAGCATCTGAAGCTCTACTCAAAGAAAGAGTTGGCACAAAACTGTTGTCTAGACATTTAAAAGAGACTGAGGTCCCCTGGTTTGGCAGTTCCCACCTTTGGTGCTATGGGATTCTACAACAGCATCACTAAATGAAAGAAAGCAACTTTATCTGGCACTAGAAGAAATATAGCTCTGGAGTGCTCAGTCAAAATGATAGATATTTGAAATCAATTAAACTTTGTGGATAGAATGATGGAATGACAACCCATCTGCTTAGTACCCGTCTGCACAAGCGTGGTGAGTCCAACAACAATAATAATTATGTATAATAATAATAATAGTACATAGTAGTGATAGTACCCACTCATAGTCTTATAACTGATTCATATACAGTACTAACACATGTACATGTAGACCAATAATTACTGGTGATGTCATATATTTTTACAAAAATACCTTTTCAATAATATGGCTAGCAATATAATCATCATCCAGTACAATATCTTCCATTGGGTCAACTGAACATTGTGATGGGCGCCATCTTATAACATACACTTGTATCTGCCATTCATGCAACTTTTTTTCTGGCCCTAAGAGTAACACATTAACTATAAATACATGTACATGTACATGTACATCACATAAAGTACAGTATACTGAAATATTATTAAAAAGATATACCATACAAGATGATTTATTGGCTAGAGTAATATTTTAATAAATTTGTGTATGGAAAGTTAATATTGGTGATTTTGTACCACATGCCATTAAGCATGCTCAGACTGAATCAAAATGGTAGATTTTACATTGGTGATTTCTGCATAGAACCATAGTCTCGCCCCACCCCTTCGCTATGGGGCGAGACTACATAGAACCATTACTCTTGATAAAACTGATATTAATTTCTTGCCAATAGGTCATCTTGTACAGTACTGACCTTTCAATTGTGTCACATACATATCATTACTAGCATTTATCAACTGATGATCAAGATATATTGTATCAGGGGATGCTCCTATCTTTTCACATAATCTCATTCTACACAATAAGTAACATGATATAGTCACATAATAGTCACATGATGTACTTGTCTAATTCAAGGATACAATCAAGTCCCTGTGCTTTTGCTTCTTTAATAATTTGTTTCTTAAATTCTCTCACTGGTGTATTTTCAGAAATAATCAACTCCATCATATAATTAATAAACTAAAAATATTTAAAATACAAATGATTATAAAGTACATTATTCTTACTACTGCTTCATTAACTTGTAACAAATATAATTTAATTCTGCACTCTTCATTTTTTAAAGCTCTGCCCAGTCTTACTATTAACTAGGAGAGAAAAAGTAAGCAAGAGATTAAATGAGAGAGACAGAGTAACTATACAAGTAAGACACAAAGTTGCTACCTCAAATCCAGAATTGATATCAGCATCCTGCAATGTCTTATTCAGACCCTCCATTTCAAATTCTCGATTCATGACAAATTTATACACTATAAAACCAGAAGGTGGTGCACCCATCAGTGGAACTAGCTCCTCCTTCAATTGGGCTAATGTTATTCTGCTATCAACTTCTACTTGCATCCCTGTATTAAATAAAATAATAAAATTATGATACAACTTTGTTTAATGAATAGTTGTTCTTACTTCTTCCATTTCCTTTAATTTCTTTATTAACTGATATAATTTTCATTATTATTTCCCCTCTTTTATTAGTTGTAGTCAGAGTAGGTTCAGGTCCAGGAGGAATTGTAATGCTCAACCGTATTGAGGTGAAGTGAAAAGCAATAAATTTGTACATCAAACTATCATTGTACTCTTTTTTATAATCTTTGGGATTTGATGATACATATAACTGAGTGTGTTATAAGAAGGAAAAAAGTGAAAGTGACAAAATAAAATAGGTTTTCTATATTGCATAGATCTACTACAAAGTACTGTTGTCACTTTGTGTGTGTTTGATTCCTTTTAACAAGTATATGTAGGTACAACTGCTCTATTGTGTGCCAGCTAGGCTGCCAGTAACCATGTGGACAAAGTGGATGAGATAATAGAATAAATGAAAGGGATTGGAAACTTCAGTTGCGTGGGTGGATTATCTCATTAATATTATTAGGTTGCCTAGCAACATAGCCTGATGTAGGCAAGTTACCCTTCCCGGGCTTCTTCCTACACTGTTTGGCGTCCTACTTCATCTTGTAACTCTAAAGTGACTTGTGTTCATCCTCTGCAATGATAATTAGAGGCATTTCAGAGGCGTATTTAGGGGGGGGGCTGAGGGGGCTTGAGCACCCCCCTCAGGGCTGGGCTCAGAAAAAATTACTGAAGTCCTGGACTCTTGCATCACTACCAAGCCTCTTAGCAAAGTTATCTAGCCCCCTGATCATGATTTCAGCAGTTTCCAGTGCTTTAAGGAGCAATCAGAAGTACCAGTAACATAGCAGTATGCTTGAAATGATCTTGGCCCCACCCGTAATTGTCGAAAATGCAGGAAAAGGCCGTTTTACCGCCGTAAAAGTGGGTGTGGCCAAAATCGCGGCGCGCTTCGCGCGCCCTCAGCACCCCCCTTCTCCAATTCCTGGATACGCCCCTGCATTTACAGAATACAGATATACAGTCTGTCTGATTTTTGAAGCAAAATGATATTGATAACTACGGATAAAGTTAGATTTATCCACTTTTTTGAGAATACAGAAGTAATTCCAGAATTGATTATTACCAACTATTCTATTACATAATTATGGAGCACACGCAACATAAATGATCCCAATGACAAATTTGATGACTCATTTATAATCAATTCAAAGTTTTTGCAAGAACCTTTGTTTTATAACTTTTCTTTACAGTTGAATGATTGACACATTTCAATGTGATATGAAAAGAAAAGCTTGATGTACACTTGAGGGCATGCACATACAAGTACTTTTATGTATGTGATTATGATATAAACACAGTTTGAGAAAAACCATTATAAAGTATTGCTGTGTAGCCTGTTTATAATCTTTTATAACTTTTCCTTATTGTAAAAATGAAAAATTGCTATAAATAGAAAAATTATTATGGCATAGGTAACTAGCATTTCTTGCCGCAAACAGAAGTTTTCTATTCCTTTAATTTACTCTATTATCCATGGCATAGGCATTATACAACTACATATGTAATGAAACACAATACATGGTTTATATCCCTAAACTTAATGCAATAGAAGGAAAAGAAATGAGTTATCATTTTAGTCTTATTGTGGACTGGTTCACAGGGGCATGTATGAATCCAATTACCATGCATACAGTTTTAAATACTAGCATCAGTTAAATTAAGCGATTGTTAAAATCTTACAATTACTGATTAAAGTAGCAGTGACATGCTATTTAGCATGCTAAAATGAAACAAAATGGTGGATTTTATAAATAACTGGGCAGATGCTCATTGTATCCACCAATATTAATTGCCCAACAACATTTCCAGCTTTAGGTACCGTATAAGTGGTTTTTTTCGAGGGAATTATATTTCGCGAAATCTGCTAAAATTCCAATTTGCGGATTTTAATTTCGGAAATTCTACCACATGCGCCACGAGGGTACCATATTAAATTGCTTTTTGCAGATTTTATTTTCGCAAATCAGGAGGGAATCCACAAAATTTGTGAAATTTGTAACCCTCGAAAAAAACCACTTATATGGTATGCTCAAAGGTAAAATAACCTTGTAGGCAAAATTACATAGCAGTTTTAGTCACAGTATACCAAATGGCATGCCTGGCAAGGCTCAACTGAATTGCTTAAACTGAAAACAGATATGATACACTAGCTTGATCTGCAATACATGTGTCATAGGAGAAGACATTTTTCATCTAATAACAGAGTTATTTGTTACAAACTATTGCTACACAAACAGCGGTGATTATACATAAAAGACAGACATGACACAAACTGTGTTGTTTTAGTATGGTATAAGAGTTTTAGTTTTAGTTTTAGTTTCCTATTTCTTTAATTTTAAGTTTTAGTTATGCAATGGCAATAATTTTAGTTTTAGTTATTGTTATCACTTCAAAATTGTATTTTAGTTTTAGTCTTAGTTATATTCTTCTGGTACTTCTAGTTTTAGTTTTAGTAATAGTTTAATTCACCAAAATCTTTCCGATAATGTAAAAACAATTAAACCATAAAAATTAAGAACCAGTAAATGAACTGAATGATTTGACCAACAGTGCAGAGCTAGGCACTGGTGGTCACACCTTTTAATTATACTGCAATAGTTCCATTAGTTACTAGCACTCAATTTTAGTTTAGTTTTAGTCAATGTAACACACAATTGAAGTTTTAGTTTTAGTTATAGTTAATTAGTACTAGTTTTAGTTTTAGTTAAGGAAAACAGCTCACTAAAATAGGTTTTAGTTTTAGTTATTGTTAACTAAAACAACACTAACACAAACACACATCTCAAATTATGTTTCATCTGGATCACAAAGCTAGGTTTATAGAATACGCTGGTGACATCATTATGTTTAACACAACATAAGACCAACTCCATTTTAGTCTTATGTTGTGTGCAAAGTAAGTGAAGTCACAGGTGAAGTTGTGTACATATATTGCAAACCTAGCTAATGGGGGCTGTCTGTACTTTTGTGTATGGACTAACTCTGTTTCCTCTAAGTACCATTCCTAAAATACTTTTGGCATCACTAAGTTCATAGACTGCAACCCCCTGGAAAGCAATAACCTCCATTACTAATCTCATACATGACGAATTGAGATAAAGAAACTATACAAAAAAGAGAGGGGGAAAAAGAGAATATAGTTAAAAATTAATTTTTTCAATTTAATTTGCCAAAAAATGTAAAATTTATATTTCAAGACCGTATTTCAAGATTTATTTGGAAAGTTAATTTTGCAAAAAATTGGTATAAAATGGCAGACAGATCTGTGGAATAGATTTTAGGCAAATTTGTGATGAAATCTACAGTCCCCAAAAAATTTTGTGTTGTATGGTAATGAAATTTACATGCATGACCCCTAAAGACCCAAAACCACAAAAATTTAATTTACAAATAAGGATTTTGTAAAAATTATTTCATGCAAGATTTTTATGTGCTAAAGTTAATATATTCTTCCTCTTACGTCTCCTATATGCTGTTTTAATTTTCCAACAGTCCAACCTCTTTCACCTCTCATTGGTTTATCTGGTCCTATTTTACCAGTTGACAGATCAACCACTGATATCATTAGACTAATACCTATCATCAAACATATTTACAATAACCAAGCTAAATAATCAACTACACTCACCACCATCACTGTATTTCTTAAATATTTCATTTTCCTTGCGTGTTTCTAAAAATAATGCAAAAGAAGGACTATATCTAGCCCTACCCGTAAGGCGTCCAATAGTTTGATGCTGAAACTAAATTTAATAACAAAAATAATTATGATGATAGAACTCAACTTACCTTATTAAGATCCAAGGACTGATTCATTACACCATCAAAATAATTATATTTAACTAAACGACATCTGTCAATAGGAAAATGAGGAGCTAATTTCATTAACTGAGAATTTAAGAGATGAGAAAATAAATGAACAAAAATGGAAGAAATAAAACCTCATAAGCTTTATCCAGTACTAAGGGTAGTAAATCATCTTCATGTACTTCAAGTGACAGATTCATCAATTCCCCAGTAACCGGATGATAACAAAATAATCTGAACTATAAAATTAAAGTATAAGTACATACCATATAGCAGGAAATTTTTTATGGCTCAAAATTTTTGTGGACTTTGCGTTTTTTTTCAAAATTCTCAAAAATAAAATTCACGAAAATTAATTTGATACGGTTCAAGATGGCCAAAATGTAGAAAACCACGAAAAATACAGCCACAAAATTGATTTTTAGATGGATCCGCGAAAATTTTAGGCCATGAAAATTTCTCCCTATACGGTATACATTGTTTGTCTCGTTTTTACTTTACACATTTCTTTTTTCATTTTTTGTTTTTCTCTCTGTTTCTTATCCTCAGCCTCTTTCAAATCTATTCAACAATTAAAATGATGCAGTAATCATGACACACATAATCAATAAAACCTTTTATATCATTTATCATTTTCTCATTGTGTTCTCTTTCATTAATCAGTTCCATATTCTTTAATGTTATTCTTTCTCGTAATTCCTCTATTGTTTTTTCATTGTCTACTAGTGGCTGATAGTCTGGACTTTTCATTGCTTTAAGGTGAAATTTGTAGTCCTCAATTTCAAGAGCCATTCCTCTTCGCAATTTGCTAGCAGCTTTCATTAATAATATTATATAATTAATGTAATTACATGTAATAAAACTAATCTAACCTGAATCAGTATTACTTGAAAATGACCTCGAAATATCAGATTTTATTTTTGATAATTTTTCTGACATTTCATTGTTTTCATCTTTTATCTCATTAAACTGAGAGCTCAATACAGTCAACTCTTCATAAAGTGGTTCTTCCTATATATTAATAATCATTATAATTAATACAAACTAGTGAGATATATCTATACCTCAACTTCTTTAAATGATTCAGTATCACTTTGAACATACAATGACTCTTTCTATATACATAAATTAAAGTTTTGTTTTGTACAACATGTACATATACATGTAGCTACGTGTGTACATTGAATGAACTACATATACATAAAGAACTAGTACCCAGTAAGCATGGTAATTGACGCCAATGAACAACAGACAGACAACTTAAGTACATGAACCTCACTCATAATACATAGGACAATTTAAAAGTTTTACTACAAGGGATTATCACAATAATCATGGTATTTGTTGATGTAAGCTGATCATTTAACAGCAAAATTACTCCAAATTATGACATAAACTATAAAAATTTAAATAGATTGGTAAGTAGTTCTCTCATCATCTCCAACTCTTAAATACAAAGTTTGATTGAAGTTCCTAATAATCTCTCTTGCCAGTAAAATATTTCATAAAAAATGCTTTGTGTAGTAAATAAATAGCCATAAGAATATTATCGAACATTAATTTTTATTATCACAATAATGATAATGTATTCACAATTGATATATTGATACATTGATTATATGGCAGCATCCTTACTATTAACAATGCATAACAGTATACAAGATACCTTGGGTATTGTTGTTGATAATCTTTGCTTCAATTCAAATATCTCCTATTACAATGTATTGTACTGGTTTATTTTCGCAGTGGAAATTTTTGCAAATCTTACATTTCTAAGATTTCGCGGAATTAATTTTTGCGAATTGCTTGCAGACTGCACCACGTGGCAATGGAGAGACAAATTTCACTGTGAACATTTTTTGCAAATGATCACCAAACTGCAAAATTCACAAAAATATTTTACCACGAAAATAAACCGGTATATGGTATATGATTTAATGTGGTAACATAACATATGTACCTCTTCTTTGTTACTGACAGCATCTCTTAGTCTATACTCAACTTCTTTAAGTATAATATAAGAAATAACCTAAAATAATAATTATATCATAGAAGTAAGTAGTAAGTATGTGCATACACACATTTTGATATACATTACTTCTGAATAACAAAATTTTGGAACACCAAATTTTGTTATATTGGATAGAAATTTTCATTAAAGAGAATTTTTTAAATTAATAGCGAACGTTTTTGCTAAGTTTCATTATTGGAGGTTCCATCGTGGCTGCATAAAATGTACATGTAAATGCACTGTAATGTCTATAACTGTAAAAGAAATTATGCAATATAGTAACAGACCTCTGTATGTTGCTGTAAGTCTTGAGCCTTTTCTTTTAGTTCCTAAACAAAACAGTATTCATAAAATAATTTTCACCTTTTCACATTATGTACCTTTTGTCTAACATCTTGTCTCCTCCATAATGTTAAGTTACCAATAGTCAGTTTCTTTAATCCTTGTCCCATTAGTATATGAATATTCTCTATCATCCTCAATACAGTAAACCCAACATCAGAGAAAGGAAAGGAGCAAGTGACAGAGATTGAAGTGGAGGTTTCAATATACTTAATAATCAGTAGTTTACCAGATACTTCTGACAGTATATCCTTAATATCCTTTAGTACATGTTCCTCGGGCTCCCAGTCAAAAATTAAAGTAACTGTTTCACATTGAAGATGAGGAATGGAAGCAAACCTTTCCTTTAAACAAAGACTGATAGAGAGTGACATGCAGAATTCCTTTAACTCAGTTCTATATGCCTTGATGTATTTTTTAGCTTCAGTGATCGCCATTTCTTCTACTACAGTATGAAGGAGCTCGATATTAGTCAGTGAACACTCATTACAAATAAGACGCAAGACACTAGAAATATCACGACACTTCTTTACTTTTGTACACAGAACTGTGCTACAACAAGACAGTAATTCTTTTATTTCTTTTAGAGAAGGAGAATTCTGCTTGATAATCTTGCCAACATTGTAAAACATCTTTCCATAAGACATTCTCATTGAGGTAAACTTCCCAAGTAAGCTTTTTGAAACAGGAACTTGTATTTCAGCTACAAAAAATAATATTATGTTCATAGAATGTAAAGGAACATTATAATCAATACCTTGAGATGCTAAAGGTTGGGAGGAGGAACTACTAGCAACTTCAGTATGAGAAGACATGACTATTAATTAAATAAAATAATGCAGAGATACCATATTTTGTGGAGTTAACTAATAACTTCTAAATTTTAGTGGTTTTGGCAGTTAATGTACTGCAGGGGTCATGCAAATTTTTGTGCTTTGCAATTAATTTTGTTACTATAATAATTATTAATGAATGCATTATTACTTTGTGGAACCACAGATAAATCTTTAATAGTCTCAGGAACCACACCCACTTCCGGAGTAGGGAAATACTTACCTAAACACATTATAAAAGTTTGAGCCAATTCTCATTACATTTTTGAGTAATGGTATTTTTAAAACTAGTGACTATTTTAAAAGCATGGCCATGGCTTTTTAAAATTTGGTTGTCAAATCTATTACATTTTCTAATACATTAATCTTATTAGAAAGTCTGAGCCAATTCTTTCTGACTGAGTTATAGACAGTCATCAGAAATCACCTCTAACTTTATTATAATTATTTTCAGATATAACATACATGCACTTACTAATATCATCCAGTATAGCTTGTCCTAATTGTACATTGGTACTTATTGTACACAACACATTAGCAAATGTATGTAAACTGTTGGGGTCAGTTTGAACAGCTTCATTGACAGCAGTTAACAGAACTTCACGTTGATTAGGAATAGAAGAAATAGCTGACACTATTCTGCTAACTGCTTCTTGTGTTAACATACGTTCCGCATAAAGTAACCAAGCAATACTAACAGAATCACAAAGAGACTGAGACAGGACAGTATGACGACTATTAAAAATAATAATAAGAATCTGATGTTCTATGATAAAAAATACAATGATTATAGTTACACACAGTTATGGTTGACTCACTTAACTTCTCAGCTACAGCAGTTTCATTCATAGATCGTAGAGCATCTGACAGTGAGTCCAAGTTGGCTCCTCCTCTACTGTCAACATTATCAGCTCTGCCTAACCATTGGGAGAGGCATTCTGTCATACACCGAGATACATCTTGAGGATGATTCTTTTCAATGACGTCCAGTGTCCTCTTTAGTAGTCCCAGTCTTAGTCCAAACTCATACCATTTTGTTTCTGGAAAGCCACATCTCTTCAATAAATCAAGAACATCAATTAAGTCATTGACACCAATTGCAGGGCCTAACAAAAAAACAAAAAACCAAAAAACAAGACTGTAGTGGATCCAAATCACTATACGTACCCAAACAAGGTGGACTAGTGGCCATACTTCCATTAAACTAAGTGGACCGTGTCCTGAGGCCAGGACCTCAAAAAACGAGACAGCTTCTTTCGGCTTCTTTTCTCTCTGGTTTGCTAGTTATTTTAGGCAGGGGTGAAAAGTGAAAACTCCTAGGAAAACTCAAAGGAGAGGCGGGCCAGGGCCGCCAGGCAGATTATAAAAAGGTGGGGCTGGATCTGCAATAGACTAGAGCTAGATCTTATTACCAAGCGCTAGCGCTTGGTATGTAGGGTTGAGTTGGATGAGAGTATGGCAAGCCAATAGTATCAAAATTCGACTACCTCATACGACATAAGAATGCTCACACGACGACTTAAGATCACAAGGCGACTTAAAACTCATGACGACTTGTATAAGTTTTATTTATTATTTTTAAGAGGGAGGGGGAAATATTAATTATTTAATTTTAACCCTTTGTAAACTGAAGGAATCGAATAAAAATGGCAGAGACTGCCATCAGTTGGACTGATCGTCAAATCTCCTTATTGTTGTATTATAAATACTCATAACTGGGCCCGGAATTGTCAAATCATTATACTTACTAAGAATAATTACATTCACAATAATGATAATAATAATTCCAAGAGAAGTGCGGAGGGAAGTAGAGGTAACACTAAGAGAAAAAGGAGGGAGAGGGGAAAAAGAAAATAAAAGTACTTGGAAAAAACATTAGCATTAAGCATAAGTGTAACAATGATTATTAAATCAAGTACAATTAAAAGTAATTAAGTGCTCTAATGTTGACACATACAATTTTACTCCATATAGTCATTATACTCTCTTGTATAAGATTCACTTCATTTTGTAATTAATGTATCTCATCAGTTGATATAAAAAATGACTTTCTGTGACTGTGACTATGGAGTCAACACATGAATTAATGAATTATGTATTTTCTCCACATGAATTCGGGCAGGTATGTATGGAATAGCTGAGAATGCATAGTTTGTATTTTTCTCATCATCCGTTTGCACTGACTCCACATTGATTCTACAGACTGGGTGTGTGCTCCTGTTACCGGGTCAACAAAATGTAGGGAGTGGTTGACAGTATGATGGGTATAGTTCTGACCCAGTAACCTATCCAAGCCATTATATGCTCCCCACAAATCACTGTATATGACACTCCCTATACAGAAAAGAATCAAAATCATAACTGAACATGTCATACTGTACCTGGCCGGATAAAACTAGTGATGATCGGAACTAATGTCAATGCGTCTCTCGTGTCAACTTCAACTGACAAGAAATGAATTCCCTGTGTATATAACCAATGTCAAAGCGTCTTTTGTATTGACTTTAGCAAAGAATAAATTACCTGTGTATCTTTCAGTCCCTCCAAATACCCAATGACCTTCAACTAAAGACCCCTATTATACTTCCTACGTCCGAACTTTGATTCATCTATCTCCACATCTATTCCTGGACCGCCAATTTCAACAGGGTGATCAATAAAGTATTGAGCACAAACATCACGTATAAAGTTGTACGAGTCTATTCCTGTTTTTTTCGCTAATCTAAAAATGTGACATTTAGATGTTACTGCTTAATGCCACGTGAAATTTATCTGAACTTCTTTAATCATATCTCCTAATGACGTCTTTGTCGACCATAGATGAATGATCCTTATAACCTTTCTTTCTTCTTGGTGGGTCTGAAGGAGTGGATAGCTTCTCTTTTCCCTCTTTAAGCACTTAACCTCGAGCTTAACTTTGTCTGAGCAGCCATTTTGAAATGTGAGAACACGTGGGTGGCTGGCTGCAATTAGTTCATGGTGCATGTATAGAGATCTATAGCTACTGTATAAAAGCAGATAAAACAATGCATGTCATGTATAAAAACTAGGAGGCTATAAAGTTTGGCCCTTTTATACCACTACTAGGAGACTGGAGTAACTTTCTTCCTTTCCTATTGATTGCAGTCAGTAAAATCTTCAAGATTATTTCATTTTAATGATAAAAATTTTAACTTTTACTGAACTCAACTAATATAGATACATCATATATGTACATCTTGACATAAATTTGGAACCTTAAAAATTAAAATTTTAATAGAATTTCTACACAACATAATATTTTTTGTACATTCATTATAAAAAGATGTGCATGTGTTGGTGGCTCATTTAGCTATGCTGCACAGTAGTAGTTGTAGAGCTGGCAATGATAGTTCAAATCGCCATAAATACATGCAATCAAAATTTAAAAGAATTATTAAAAAAAAAATTAAAACTAGTATATAAATCTCTAGCTTCAGTCTTGAGTATCAATCCACTTGACATTTCATCTTTATTTCAGCTTTACCTATCAATGATAATATTAAAGTCCTTACACAAACTTACTGTTATTATTGTTATTTTTCGTCTTGTATGTAGTGCTCTTAGCATCACTAGCAGTAGTAACCACTAGTGATCCCAGGCAGCGCCACGTGGAGGCGGCACTACACTGCTGCCCAAAAATTTTAAAAACCTGGCCCAACACTCTTGCTGAGGCCTAGGTTGTAAAAATAATAATAAATAATAATAATAAATAATAATAAATCATAAAAATAAACAATAATAATAAATAATAATAAAAAATAATAATAAATCATAAAAATAAACAATAATAATAAATAATAATAAAAAATAATAATAAATCATAAAAATAAAAAATAATAATAAATAATAATAATGAATAATAATAAATCATAAAAATAATAAATAATAAATAATGATAATTTAATAATAATAAATCATAAAACCTAGACCTATAACCTATACGTACACTATATAACCTGTATCCTATAACTACCTGTTTCCTAATTTCTATACTATAACTATTTTCTAATTTCTACTACACAATAACTACACCATAGCCTAATATAACTATACCTGCTTCCTAATTTCTACTACAATACCTACCTATACCTACAACTTATTTTGTATACACAATGT